GCGCAGGGCATAAGGAGATTCACTTCCGTCTAGCGCCCTCTGAGATATCCTTTAGCAATTCACACTAGGAACACTTTGGACGAAACAGGAGACGTGTGCTAAAGTTTGCCTACAGAGACGCAAGCACATTACATGGAGTTAAATGATGTCAGGATACTGGCAGCTGGTGCCTGTGCTGCCAGTATGGTAGCCTGTAACCTCAATATATACTGGTAGCTGCCTGCTAGCAGTTAATTAAAGGACGATGCCCAACCAAGCCGCCGCCTGTTTGGCCCCCGCCCTGTCACCCATTCTGTTTAACTATGCTATTGACTGGATCCTCGGGAGGGCCCTACGCGAGGGTGACGCCGTTGAGTTTGAACCCGGACACCGACTGACTGATCTCGACTATGCCGATGATATCGCCTTACTTGCTTCAAGTTTTGGTGACCTGCAGCCTATGGTGTCAGGGGTAAACGAGGTCGCTAAATCGGTCGGTTTATCCATAAACGCTGGGAAGACTAAAGCGTTTTCAAACAGCATCCCTAACCAGGGGAAGGCACCCCTCGGGATTGATGGCTGTCAACTTGAAGTAGACAGGTTTAAATACCTCGGAGCGAGGCTGCTGCCTAATGGACAGAGTAAGGACGACATTGCCTCCCGAATCGATGCTGCCTGCTGGCTTTTCTCATGCCTTCAGAAATGCCTATGGATCCGACGTGACCTCTCCATCGCAACTAAGATTCGCGTGTACCGTGCATCTGTCCGGTCTGTCCTTCTCTACGGTTGTGAATGCTGGGCTTTGCGCGTGGAGGACGAGAGAGAACTGGAAGTGTTTGCGCACCACTGCTTGAGGACCATCCTTCGAGTGAATTTCACCGACTTCGTCTCAAATGAGACAGTCCGCGAGCTCTGCGACAACATCGCAAGGATAATTCTGGCCATCCACGAAAGATGACTGAGGTGGTTTGGACATGTTCTTCGTCGTCCACCTCAGGAACTCTGTGTTACTGCCCTCGATCCGGCACCGCCACCCCATTGGAGGCCTCGAAGAGGGGGTCAGTTCAAAACCTGGCTCGACACAGTTCGTCAAGACATGGAGGGGGTTCTAGGACCTTCGGTATTCGGTCTACGTCGTTGGCGAAGGGAATGGGTTGAGCTGTCTAGATCTGCTGCCGCGGATCGACACGCGTGGAGAGGTGCAGTTCGTGACATCATCGAGGCCGGCTGGATCAGGCGTGATCGCAGCCGTATCAAGTGCAAGTACAAGTTGACAGTTAAATTAATATTACACGGTTGTCCCGCTGTGGTTAATGGACTTCGGCCTAAATATTCTAATTGAGTTCCGGTCTGCGCCTACAGACCTTAGTTTAAACTGATTTACTCCAAGTTAGCGGTTAAGTTACGAGGAAAGCAAAAGGTAACAATTCCATGGGGTTGTAGAAGGCTGCCTTACATGTTTTCTGTTTGTGGACTGGTGTAGGCGTATCTGAGGCGGCATGCACGAGTGAATTAATCAATTTCATGCAGTGAGCGCAGATGCACAAATTTTCCATACCTACGACCAAATATCGGTACGTCTCGGTCCATTTCAAAGTCCCTGGATTTGCCTGTACTATGCGGAATTCTAAACCCCGACCTCGCTACCAGCAAACAACGCTCCAAACCAATGGGTGAGTGCGGGATTGCTTGGTATCGCGAGCGCCCATGACTCACGGTTCAAGATAGGCCGCACAGTACACCACGCAGGTGGATACGCACACAGGGTCAGGAGTCCAAAGGACCTCCTTCAGTCCACGAGGGCGAATTAATGTTACATGACAGAGATTCTCCAGTGGACACAAGGGACAGGAGGTTGTGTGAATCCCCATATTAGAAGAACGAGCAATGAGTCTACACAGAGTAACTGCCGTAAGGGAAAAAAAGAAGAAGCTAAGAACGTACTTAACGGGATCCATAGTGGAACTCAAGTTGATCCTTCGCGGCTGCAACTTCCCTTGCCACTTTTCCCAACCGACAAATTTGGTTTCTAAGGGCAGGCAGAGGAAAGAAAGGCGGGGAATAACAGATTCATGGCCTGAATTCTAGTAATGCGACGTCGACAAGTACATTGTACAATGGAAGACCAAGCTCACCTGATGGGGAAGGCTTCTGTAGTAACTGAATGCGGAGCAGGAAACTATGCGTGAATATGCGTTCACCATGAGAGTAGCGGTCGCGAAAGCAAAGCACCTTAACAGTCTCCGGGGACGAGAGTGTTCTGCGGAAAAGAAAAAAAAGAATAAATGCATGTATTCAAAAAGTTCACTCGGAGATCGAGGTTATCGACAAAAATTCTACTTTTGTTCGAGAAGAAGGAACAAGCAACAACAAAGTATCCGTTGTCGAACGGGTCAGAAAGTAATCGATCGGTTCAGAAAGACGACCAAGGTAGAAGAACTTTTACTTCTGAGTTAGGCTTCAATGGCTCCTTCTTAATGTGACCTTTATGACACTCTAAGCCCGTAGAATCGTAGCCGGGTGTGGCTACACGTCTAGGGGCAACTCCGACAGCGCCAGTCACCTGCGGTCTTCTTGACTACGTTTTGACACAGGACCAAGGTGATGATGATGATGATGATGATGAGGAGGAGGAGGAGGAGGAGGAGGAGGAGGAGAGGGTGCGGTAGATGTTGCATAAGTTCACTATCACTATAAAAGAAATCACGCGTAATTCACCATGGCCGCTCACAACCTGCAGTTGAGCGCAAGGTGTACACTATCGGCGACGAGGGTCGAACTGTTACTACTAGATAAAAGGGCAAGGGTACAATATGCGACCCCACTCGCGGATTAAAAACCAGTTCATCGTGGTCTACTGCGTCCTCGCCTGTTTTTTTTTTATAATTGACGCTTCTGCGCTTTCGTAACTAGGTGGAATTTAATCGACTTCTTAATTTATCTCTTCGAAACGAGAACGCATTTCGGGATTTCGGTTGGCATTTCTTGAGTTAGTCCACCTCCTGTACCTTGTTCCACCCACTACCATTTTGCGCTGTTCCGGCAACCGAGTTGATCTTAGCAATCCTCGCTCTCGCATAGTCCACCACGGAAGTATTTCATTTAAAAATCTCCAGTCTTATTACTTTCACCGAGTTCTATTGTTAACCAACTGTTTAGATGTGTCTGCAATACAAAGAAAAGAAATGGGTGCCCGTAAAGGACACTTCAATGATGGTCTTCAAGTGGGTACCGGTTCCCGAGGATCACGCTAAAGAGTGCCTTTTGTCGTCCCCAGCCGAATCCCCTTTCATCAAACAGTAGTAGCATTTTGCCAAACGCGGCGAAACCGCCTGAACTTCGCACGGAGGCTCCTCTACCAGCTATCACAGCTACCACCGTCGCCTCCACTGTAGTGCTTGAAGAAGCCGCACTCTCTGAAAGTAAAGAGCAAATGGATACCTCTGAGGACAAAGGTTTGGGAATCCTTAATCGATCTTTGGCAGTTAGCCCTCTAAGTCTGCATACAGTGTGTGACCGGTCTCATGAAATGTTGGCCAAAATTCTGGAATGCGTTTCCGATTAGGAACGATTACTTAAGTGGGATTGTTATACTGAGTACCATCCAGCACAACCCTATAACATTTCGGACTTGCCAGGATGTCGGCTTTTGAATGCATTTCTTTTTGACCTCCTGCAGAAACCACACTTAGTATAAAATGACTACTTAAGTTGCATACATTTTTCCTATTGATTTTTCGATGGCCTTATAAATTCAAATATATTTTACAGAAAACATGCACAAAAATATGCTTTCTTTTGCTCATTTGGTCGGAAATCACATTGTCTTCATATTTTATGTCCGAAGAAACTGTATATTTAGGTTTTAAAAAGTTTCTAATTATGAGATTTTTAAGACCGTGCGATGTCCATGCATGCAAGACCGCACATGTCTGTTTACTAATGCTCCCCATGAAATGCACAACACAGTCCGGATACATTGAAAAATTTAATGAACGCTATATGGTATCTTTTTAAAGACATAGGGGAATATATGATTTTCCTTAAGCGGAAAGCATGCACCTTGTATTACTGAAATTGCCAAACCCTGATGCAATGGCAGATCAGGCTGAAAATTATTCCGGAATCGGGAAATGTCCGAAACGTTATAGGGGTATGCTGCATGATAATCAGTATAACAACCCCATTTAAGTAATCCTTCCTAATCGGAAACGCATTCTAGAATTTTAGCTAACACTTCATGAGATCGGTCACACACTGTACAACATGTTGTTTCAGTTACGAACAAATTTTCTGGATGATATTACACCCGCAGCGATGACGAGATCAGGCCAACAATGTTCATTACTTCTGCTGCTGTACGCAGCTTGCTCCTTCTGAGCGTCAATAGGCATGACCGGAAAAGGACAAAAATCAGTTTAAGAGTAAATGCAGTAGGCGCACGGCTACGGGACTTTAGGAATAAAATAAAAATTCGTCCCCACATGCCATAGACAC